CTCGCTAGAGCGCAGGAGTTGGAGGTTGCTGTGAGCTATAATGCCACGGCACTCTACCCAGGGGGACAGCTTGAGGCTCTGTCTCAAAAAAAAAAAAAAAACCTTTCCACAAAGGAGACTCTGGTCCCAGATAACTTTATTATTAATTTGTACCAAACATTTAAGGTACAAATAATATCAATCCTACATAAACCCTTTTGGGAATTTGAAAGGAGGGCTACTAGTTCTCAATTCTGTCTACGTGGCTAATATCTTGATAACTAAACCTCACAAAAACTTAAGAAATGAAATATGGGGCAACACCTGTGCCTCAAAAGGGTAGGGTACCAGCCCCATATGCCAGAGGTGGCGGTTCAAACCCAGCCCTGGCCAAAAAAGTAAAGAAATGAAATTTGTAGGTTCATATCCCTCATGCATATAGATACAAAAATTCTAAACAAAATTTAACAAATCCAAGTCAATAATATATTACATATATATTATATATATATATTTAATATATATATATTTATAAAATATGTCATGACCAAGTTTGATTTATCCCAAAAGTGCAAGGCTGGTTTTGCATTTGAAAATCAACATGCAATTCACCATATGAACACACAGTCATCTCAATTTATGTAGAAAAGCTTTTGACAAAATCCAACTTACGTTTCTAATAAAAGCGCTCAGGAAAGTGTGAGTAGAATGGACTTCCTCAATCTGATATATGCATCTATTAAAAATGTACAGCAAAACCTAGAGCTAGCATAATACTTTAATGGTAAAAAATTTTATGCCTTCCCCTAATATCAGGAAAATGACAAGGATGTCTATTCTCACCAGTCCTGTTCAATACTGTAATAGAGGTTCTATAAAAGAGGGGCAGGGCATCCAGATGGAATAGAATAAAATAAAACTTTTTATTTTTATTCAACATGCTCATCTATATACACAACCCAATGGAATATACAAGCCCTATAAATGCTCAAACGATCCTAAAGAAGAAACATAAAGCAGAAAGAATCACCGTACCTGGCTTAGACTTACTATGTATCTGCATTAATCAGGACCAAAAAAGCCACTAGACCTAACAATTTAGCAAGTTTGTGGGATAAAAATCCAATATACAAAGATTCATTTTGTTTCTACATATCAGTAAATAAAAATTGAAATAAAATATTGCTTGCAATAACATCAAAAGCATGAAATACATAGGGGTAAATCTGTCAAAATATGTGAAAAGCTATACTATAGCTGAAAACTACAAAACTTTGCTGAGAAATGTATCTTGTTTATGGGTCAGAAGACTCAAGAATGTTAGGATGCCTATTCTTTCCCAGTTGATACATAGACTTAATGCAATCCCAATCAAACCTCAGCAGGCTTTTAAAAATAAAAGTTGAAAAATTAATTCTTTGGAAATGCAAAGGATTTAAAACATCCAAACAAGTTTTAAGAAGAACAAAGTTGAAGAACCAACGCTACCCAATTTCAAGACTTATGATAAAACCACCTAATGTCAAGATTTACTATAAAACTCATGCAGTGGTACTGCCGTGGTCCCCGACGTCACTGCAACCCTCACGAGGCTGCTGTTCTTCGCGCCGACTCTCCGCACCGCACTTCGCTACCAGACGAGATGGAATCCCATGCTGCCGATGCCGTCAAGTCGCCCGAAAGTGATGTGGCCACGTGCGAGCCGGAGCCTCTCGGAAAGCAACCGGAGAGCCTGCCTTTGCTGGAGTTTGTCGGCGAGGCCGGTAACGGCTCCAGCACTGAAGGGTCG